CCAATTATGACGGATGATGGCGCTGATCGTCAAATTTTTGGACAGGGATTTTGCTTACCGACAATACGACGTGAGCTACGACCGGACCAGGACCAATCAGAATGATCAGTCTTTCTTGGACATTTGCCGTGGAAGTGTGTGTTAATTTCTGTTGTGATAAGTGTGGTTGTATTTGCAGTTTGATTTTTCGGTTTTGATATTATGTTAAAATTAATTTTGAAGTATTGTATCACCTGTTTTTATGTAATAGTACTTTTTTTAGTTCTATGATCTGATATGTTATGATTTATTAATGTTTGTTTAACAATGTTATACCGAAGAGGTTATACTTAATATACTTATCAATTTGCATAGCCTAACTTTTTTATCAATAAACTTTGTAGATTTTCAGATTATTTCATTCCATTTGTTTCCGTTTGTAATTTTATTTTTAAGACATATTATGTGATTGTTTCACATAATATGTTTTAAAAATAAAATTGCAAATAGCGAATAAAAATAATTAAAAAAGCGTATTTTACAATTCCCCCCGGCCCCGCACCCCTTTGGCTAACCTATAATGTCAGCTATGTCGAGAGATGGCGTTACGAAAATGGAACCGATTTATTACAAGGAACTTGGGCTTCTTTTTCGTTAGTATATTCTGTGATATGAATGCTTGAAGGCATATAATACCAACCGTAAAGGGAAACAAATAGTTCTGCTGTCTCTTTCGTGTCACCAAACTACGGTCGAATCAATGGAAAACGTAATTATTGCCGAAGAGATTTATTTTTTTCTTCCAGGTTCGGATCTAGGTGGACGAAATTTATATGTGACAGTATACTAGAAGGTTCACTCTATGATATTTTGTATATGTAACCTTGCGCGAATGTAAGCGTTTTTTTGAAAGTCATAATAAACATGTAGAAACAAGACTTGAAAAAAATTGGGACTTTTTTCAGGTTCGTTGTTGGTAAAAGACTTCTCTTTACGGAAAAAAATGTTGGAATTGAACAACACATGAAATCTTCTCAATCGATCACTTCTGAAAATAATAAATTTCATTTTATGAAATTTTTCTACAGATTTGGTAAATTAAGGAAACTATAACTTTAACCCGCCATAACTCCCCGACTAAAGGTGTACGCGCACTGAATCGGTACCAGTCCGGCTAGAAACGGCGAAGGCGGTGACTCGACTATCGTAGATAGGTAGAGGTAGGAATCTGGCCTCTACAGGCCGAAATGTTTTAGTGGACGCCGCACAATGCTTCGAACATATGGCTCTAGAGGACAAAAATGCAAAACTTCTCTTTTATTGTAGGCGATTTATTCAAACTAGGTTTATTTGACACAAATGATGAGTACTCTCATTGTACTAAATGATGATGTTCTTAGTCCCACGTTTATGAAAAAAAATCTTATAAATAATAAAAATGTGGGAGCTGTGTTCCATCTAAAGAAATAATAATTTATAGTATGAAAACGGTGTAAGTATTAAATAAATCCCTGTGATAAAAAAGAATGGAATAACATTAGAACATGATTCCTACAATATAAGCCAATATAAGATAAAAATGTTTTTCTTTAATGAAAAAGAAACATTAATGCTATATTTAATTAAAAAAAAAACTTAAGATACTATAAATTTACTTTAGGACAACAAAATGCATAGATCGTAACTACTCTGATTCAGAAGAATTACTGCAGACAGAATCTTCCAAATTTATAGTATCCAAATCACAGGTAGATGAAATATCCTCACATATAAGATATTTCTGTATATCAGTTTCTAATATGTTACTTTTTCGCGTTGTTACTGTTCTTTTTGTTGGTATGAGGGGTTCGGATGTTAATAGTTACCTCTTTAATAGACCATATCAATATATTATTTTTTCGTTTTCTTGGGTATGAGGTTGTGATTCAATTTATTATAAAATTGAAAGATGGAAACCTTTTTATGCGACGTTTCGCTCCAAAATAGTGGGCTTTTTCAGGCACAAATGGTCTCATTTGACTGGAATGTTCATCAATATCTAATAAAGAACACATTTTTTGAAATACAAACAATTTTCAGTTCTTGTCCTTATGATCAAGCCAAGTATTAACCAGATCGGCATTGCTTATCAATTTTACTCCATCTGAAAAGTATTATAAAATAAAGTTCGTCGCAAGCAGACGCAGGTGAACTATACAAAAATTAAAAGTGTATGAATATGACAACAAAAATATTCAATAAATACGATATGTTTTGATATGTTTTTTTTAAATGCCTTTTGAAGTTTGAAAACGTGAAATTTTTATACCCATTTAAGAATCATCTTAAAAAATAAATAAAAACTAAACAATCACGAACTTGTTTTAGAAATAAATTTAAAAGTATATACCTTGTTTAACAATATCCATAGTGGCTTTCAATTAAGTACGTACTAACTCGTTTACGTTTAACTCCATATACAGAACTACTATGAATGTTATTCTTTTTTCATTGTATAAGATAATGATCGCAAAATTTATTTTTAGTGAAAATGTTTGCTAACAAAAAACGCTGTTTATGAAAAATAATATACAGGCTGGTTGAACATTGCTATAAGTATAAAATTACATATTCAGATATTAGTAAATTTTAACTTTTTTTTCGATTTTTGTCCATGGGACGAAGCACTGTGCGCCGGCGCCGTCTATACGTACCCACGATGGTCGCAGTCGCTTTTTGCTGGTCGGTCCGATCCGATGCAGTGCGCGCCCTCCTTAAGAGGTCAACTCAAGAAAAGATCTCACATGGTGGAGCTCTGGGACGTCCTTTATCCATCTATATAAAAAACTTGTTGAATTAAATGTTTTATTTTTTGGGCTAATGTCCGCATTTCCCGATTTCGTTACACTGTGCGGCGGCGTGAAATACATATTGCTAATTTCGGATTTCTGCCGTTGAAGCGCTGCTACGGTCGGAATTTGTTTGAAACGAACGGAAATGCACCAAACCTATAAAAAGAAAAGTCATATTAGGCTCCTACCTTAGTCTTTATATTCAATATGACTGAATCTCTTCTTATTATAAGAGTATATTGTTTAAAGGTTGTGGCAAGACGACGCAAGTTGCCCAGTTCATTTTGACGATCATATCGAACATATGAAAGGGTCCGTGTGCAAAATAGTGTGTACACAACCACGTAGAATAAGCGCTATATCCGTAGCGGAAAGAGTTGCGAAAGAAAGAGACGAGAAGTTAGGACACAGTGTCGGATTCCAGATTAGATTAGAAAAGTAAGTTTCAGTTAATACAAACTAATTTCTAATGTTTAAAATAATTTATTTAAATAATATGATATAATTTTTAGGATAGCTCCTAGAGATAAAGGCTCGATTCTATATTGTACAACAGGAGTGTTGTTGAAATTCATGGAATCAGACCCATCTTTTGGCCAGTGTTTCCCCATCTGATTAATCGATGAGATACACGAAAGAGATGTGATATCGGACTTTTTAATTACCGTTCTAAAAGATGTAATACGTTTTAGGAAGGATTTGAAGGTAAGATTTTTTGTTACTTTGTACAGGGTGTCCCATTTTCGTGTTTTACAGGGTTTCTCTTTTATAAGTAGAGATACAAAGTTGCGGTTTTCACATCACTATGCTACTTTTTTTATGAAACTAAATAAATATGTTACATACAGATTTTTCTAGCCCTCTTGGTTTCTGAAATACAGGGCGAATTTTGAAAATGTTGCATTTTTCTACCCCATTCATATCTCCGGTTGTTTATAAGTTATGGAAAAGGTACTGATTTCCATATAGTTTTCATGTAGAATCCAGTGACATAACTAGTTTTTCGTTGGAAGCTGTCGTTTACGAAATATGAGTCAAACTAGATTTCTCTCATATCAAAACAAAATATTTGTTTTGATATGAGCTTTCTAAAGATACTGTTCTCTATATACTTATTTTCATATATAAGATAAAAAATGCATTATTTAATTTTATTAACATAAACAATCCTAACTATTATTAGTATTTATGTCATGGAATCAGTGTTATTTGTAAGTGATAAGAAAGATCTATTTTTAGAATGCAATAGAGATCATAATCATGATAGAAGATTGTACAAAAATTTAAAATCAGAAAAAATGTAATTAGTACCGCTTTATTCATCAAAATGTACAATTTAACGCTGTAAAATTTACATTTCTTTTCCATGGCTATTAGAAACTTGCCAAGAAACAAACTAAAAAGCAGAATTTTTTTCTTAGATAGCTCAAAGGCTGCTCTCGACGTCGGAAGTGGATTTTAATTTGAATATTAAAAAAATGTATTTGTAGATCTAAGATATATCTAGATTTAAGGAAATTATGTTATTTTTCTACCCATTCAATAGCATATTATATTTTGTTTTTCTTTGTTTAGACGGGTTCCTCGTTCATATAGAACATTATTTGTATTTTTTTACTGGAATGAATAAACTATTATCTATCTATCTATACTTTAAAATGTTTTGTTAAGTTACTTGAGAAAGAGACTCTATTTTTCTGAATTCTAGATTATACTCATGAGGCGCAACACTAAACGCAGAAGCATTTTCCCGATACTACAATAATGCTCCCCACATTAATATTCCTGGTTTCACTTATCCGGTACAAGAGTATTTTGGAGGATGTTCTTCAGAAGACGCGCTTTGTGTTTGAGGAATCCCACACGCCAATATGGATACAAAAAAAGAATTGGGAAGAAACTGAAGCAGTACTTAAAGATCGAACAGATTACGTAGAACCGTACATTCGCAAGCTTCCGAGTCGGAAAATTTGTATGACAGGTAAATACAGAATGTCCCTGAAATAACTGCAAGTATTTTAAGGGCTGATAGATCTGGCCAAAGAAACATATTTTTCTTTACCATTTTAAAAATAAATTGTGATATGTTGAAAATATAAAATTATCAAATTTTTTTTTCGCAAAAAACTTATGGGCGTGTTTCTGGCATCGAACTATAGAGTTAAAATACTTGCACTTATTTCTGGGATTTTATATTTTCTTTTCATTTTTCCGAAAAAAAATATTGAAAAACTTTTGAATACCGCTTGTTCAGTGTCCGGAAATTTGTTTATATATTCGAGAGAATGCAATGTTGCCACCTCCTACGTTATCCACATTCTGTATGTTTATAATTTATAAGTTCACATTTTTTAAATTTCTACAGTTATTTTCAAAAAGTTCGCAACCGAATACAATTTTTTTCAATTTGATTGAATTACATCTGATCCCATTTCCTGTGAACTTTTTTTTTTTGAGGCACACTGTATTTTTTTGCTTTTAGACATGTTTTTGAACGAATTACACCCAAGCCCGAGAGTGAAAAATTGAACGTGAAATTGATTTTTGCATTGCTGAAGTATATTTGTCAAAAGGTAAAATTTCCTTTTTGTATACTTTTTTAACTAAAGTTTTCTAGCTACCTCACTGACTATTAGTTACATTTCAGGAGAAAATTAATGGTGCTATATTAGTGTTCGTTACTGGGTTCGCCGAAATCCAAGGCCTCATGAAACTAATGGAGCAGTCTTATCAATTCCCATCATACAAATACAAAATTTTTCCTCTGCACTCTCAACTGCCTACAACAGAGCAAAGACAGATATTTTTGCCTGCACCGCAAGGTAATATTTAAAAATTAGTGATTTTTTTATTTTTCGAAAGCTTTCTGTTACATTTTGGCGCCCAACGTGGGGCAGTAAAAAGCATATTTCCCACATTTTATTTGTTTAACAATACCGGTTTCTAAGTATTGAATACTGTCTGTGGATACTGGTAGTATAATTTTGACCCACAGCAGTAGGTAGGCCCATGAGTTTTTTAAAAAAAAAACTTGTTGATTAAATAGTTTATGACAAAAAGTTTCTATTTTTTTATTTTTATAAAATCTCACTACATAAGTCTCTATTTTTTATTTTTATATTTACAGGAACGACGAAAATAATTATAGCAACGAATATAGCGGAAACGTCAATTACTATTGACGATGTCTTGTTATTGTCATAGATTGTGGATTTATAAAAAATATCAAATGTGGACCCGCAGACTGGTATTGAAACGTTACAACCTGAAAGGGGTAAGTTTAATAACTGTATTATTGTATTTTCCATTTAAAAAAATCTTCAATAATTTTTTTTGGTGACCATTCACAATTATGAGCTTATCTATAGCAGACATACGTGAAATTGTGAAATTAATTTAGCTATTGTGAATATCCTTTTCGAGAAATTTCAGGGAAGTAGAGGACATCTGGAGATGTCTTTTTTACATGTTTATGGTTTATTTGCTACAAAATGGGATTATTATACTACATTTAGTTACAGCAGTTAGCCATGTTGTCTGTAGGTAACATGGGCAAACGCTTCACGTAAAAGGTAAAGGTAGAACAGGGCGAGTACAAGCAGGTGTATGTTATCATTTGATCAGTAAAGTTCGTTACGAGATGCTTGACAGGTTCCAAAAACCGGAAGTTCTACGAAAACGACTGGAGAGTGTCATTCTCCAATTAAAAATGTTGCAAGTAAGTAAAAAAAAATTATGCATTCCTTATAATTAAACTACCTACTAATATATGTAGTGTGTCTGTTAAAAAGTGCCAATATTTTAATTGTTTAGTTCAACCATTAGAAACACGCAAGAAATATGTATTGTCATGTATTGTGTGTGACTACATGTGTTTCTCGGCAGAGTCATCAGGGAACGACCGTTACGACAGAGACAACCTATCTATCGCTCGTGTCGCACTCGTTATAACCTAAAACAATAACACAACAATAACAAGACATTGTCTGACCGCATGTTCCAGCTATTTATGAATGAGATGCTCAGTCTATATTTTATTTTAAGTCTATGGTTTGTACGCTGTGTGCTTCAAACTTTGGTTTGGTTGCAGTATTAGGTAAATGGCTTCTGTTAAAAATTATGTTATTTATTAACAAAATACAGTTACGCTACTTAAACAACTATTTAAATTCATAATAAAATAACCTGTAAAAATTGTACTTATTTAGGGAGTCATCATAAATTGCTTTAATGATTTGATTAAAACAGAACACGTGTTTTAGCTAGGAAAGGCTCAAGAATTTTTGAGCAGACTAATGGATCCTCCTGAACCAATTTCGGTGACTAATTCGTTGACGCTTCTATCCCGATTGGGGGCTCTCGATGAAGAGGAAGCTCTCACTCCGCTGGGACTCCACATGGCGAAACTACCGGTGCAAGCTCACTGTGCCAAAATGCTCATCATGGGCGCTCTGTTCAACTGCCTGGATCCTGTTTTATCTGTAGCCGCTGCATTAGGTTTGTTTCTCATTCCAAAACTTACAGTAAAACCGTAGTATAAAGAATCTAGTAGCATTACTTCTAGTCCAATCCTTTGTTCATTTTCTGTTTAACACTATAAACTTGTTCTCACTACGCAAGATTTCTAGTGCCTACGAATATGATAGAATTGTTAAGCAATTTTCCGAACGTGTAGTCGGCATATACATTTAAAGAATATACAAAAATACTTCATAAACAATCTGCAAATATATACCTTTCATTTAAAAAAAGAATCATCACAATTGGTGAAGCGGTTGCGGCGTAATGGATGGGACAAAAAACCCTTTCGTCGGTGAAACGTGATAAACTGCTAAGTCCATTATTCCTAATGTTACAGGAGAGCAAAAAAACGGTACAAAAAAATATGTACACATGTGTGAAGTATTTTGATGCGTTAATATGATAAAGAGATAAGAATTTTATTTGCTGGGGAACAATAAAACTCTATATTTCGTGTTACGTCATTTTTTTCCGATACAATAGGGAGATAGCAGATATTCGTCTTGCAGAAATAAGAAATAAAAATATACTTCTCGAGATAGCAACCTTTATTGTTTGAAATTTTAAAAGTGGGAATGAATATTACCCAAACAGATTTATAAATAATCAATTAAATTTAAAAAATATGATATTCATAACCATATATTTATAATATCGTCGGTCTAAAAGCAAAACATACAAGTCCAAAAACGAATAAATTTTTAATGAAAATTTTAAATTTTTTTGCATTTTTAAAGAACTGAAGTAGCAGAATTTTGGACTTAATGAATATGAAAATAATTTAAAAATTAAACTTATAATTCTTAGAAGATATAGTAGAATCCTTCCATGCTTATCCTAATTTTTATACAACGGTAGAGTAGACCGAGCTGGGAAGACTGTGCGTGATTTTATTAAATTTTTATTACTTTTCTCCTTATTTTTTTAATTTTTATAAAAATTATGTTTCATTTACGTGAAAATACGTTGAAAAAAATAAAACTGATTAGGTATTATGGAAATTGTTGTACAAGTAAGTAATGTTATTTAAACTATTTATAGCACGCCGATGAATTGCTCGTATATAGAGAATTTCGTTTTCCCCCTTACCCTTTACGGATACCCCGTATTTACAGAACGGATCGACGCAGGGTCATATTATATAGATAACTATTAGGGGGGACCCTTTATAGTTCATTAATAATTAATGAGAATTAAGACTAATTATTATTCTTAACAATATTTGCTTTTGCATTGCATTATGGAATTTGCATTGCATTGGTTTACCTTGCATTAGGGTAGTTCCCTGATTTCTATACAGGGTGAGTCTTAAATAAATAAGTGCAAATATGTGCAGGGCTGGTAAATCTCGATGAAAGAAACATAATATTTTCTCTTTTCCGTTTTTTTTTCAAATAAATCCAAAACAACCGAGTTATTTCGCTTTTAAAATTTCCAATTTTTGCTATAATTTTGAGAATCATTGGATTTTCCTTCTTGTAAATTTAATCTACTACCTATATTACCATATTACAAACAAAGTATGTTTTTAAAATAAAAATTAAAAAAAAATAAAAAATCTTAATTTTTTTTTAA